AGACCCTCAGTACTCCAAGGCTTTCGTGGGCAGGGCTGCTGGACCGAAATCAAAAGTTGTCTCATTGGCTTCGGTTTGGGTAAAGGACCAAAGGTGCAGGTTTTCTCGATCGACGACGGCTTGGATCTCTTATGAATGCTCCTCGATCAGTGGTCCAGGGACCCGAAGGCCATGGTCGCCGACATGGGCCCGTTCGCTGCTGACGCCGAGCTTTCGCCCAGTTTTTTGTGCACCTTCGCTGATGTCATCACCACGGGCGATGAGCCTGCCCACGATGCCCTGCATAAGACGGACGAGGAGGTGGACAGAAGGAGACAGGAGGACTCAAAGGTATCACTGAAGGAGTGGAGGACCTGGGCGGCTGAGAGTGTCAAAGGAGGAGGGAAGGCAGCTCACAAGTTTGCTAAGCAGAAGGCATCCAACGTCACTTCTCTTCTCGACGCCGAGGGCGTCCCTCAAGTAGGTGCTGGAGCACTGTCGGCTCTTCTAGACCAATGGGTGCCGCTGTGGCGTGTTGCTGATAGGCAGGATGAGCACCCATCCCAGTGGTCTGTCCCCGCTGATGAAGCCCAATTGGGACCTCTTTCCCTGGATCGGCTCCTGAGAGTTTGTCGTAAGTATGCTCCTGGCGCAGACTTGGGGTGGGATGGTTTTCACCCAAGACGGGTACTGAGCCTCACGGAAGAACACCAGCTAAGGCTTTTAGATATTCTGCGCAGGTTTGAGGGCAGACCACAGGATCTTCTCGTCTTCTTGACCAACATGGTCTTCTTAGACAAGCCCGACGGCGGCGTGCGCCCCATCGGCCTCCTCTGCCTGGTGCTGCGCTTGTGGTCGCGACCCCGCCAGCCACACTGTCAGGCATGGGGGAAGAAGCATGCAGAGGCCTTCTATTGGGGCTCGGGGCCACACAATACCTGTGAGAGAGCTGGCTGGGTCCACAATCTCTTGGGAGGCTTTTGCAAGGAAGTTGGGTTTCAGAGTGGATCTGTCTTGGTCGACTTGAGCCGCTTCTATGAACACATAAGGCACCTTGATCTCAGAGCTGCGGGGCTCCAGTATGGGTTCCCCATCAAGGTCCTCAGAGGGTACTGTACTATCTACGCTGGATATAAAGCTCTGATGTACGGAGGTGCCGTATCGTCGGCCTACTTGGCGAATGCAGTTGTGGTGGCTGGATGCTCAGGAGCGACGACACTGGCTAAGTTACTGTTGCTCCGTCCGCTTCTTCTCACACAGCAAGGTAGGCCGAATTTATTCATCCGCAACGTTGTAGACGACGTGGCATTACAGGCATGTGGTCGGCCAGTTCAGGTAGCTCTGGTGCTATCGAGTGCAGTTGCCCAGCTCTTCTCGTGCTTTGAGGAGCTCCACTTGCTTGTGAACATCAAGAAAACGAAGTACTTGTGCACTCGAGAGGTTCAGACCCATGTTGTGGGCTCCTGGTGCTTGCCTGGTACGTCTCGGGTCGAGCATGCGCGCAACCTCGGCACGGATGCGACGACGGGCTCACGACGACGCGTGGGAGTGCAGAGAGCGAGGTTCATCGATGCAGGTTCGCGCTCGAAGCGACTTCGTTTGCTGAGGGAGGCTGGGGCAGATGTGGCTCTTGCACAGAGAATGGGGGCCACGGCATCGGCCCTTTGGGGCAGTAGTGTATTGGGAATATCGCCGACGGCCATGCATGGCCTAAGGCTGTCGGCGGCTCACGCTCTAGGACGTCATCCCAAAGGGGCCTCCCTGGGAATTCGGCCGCATTCGTTTCGTCTGGGAGAAATCGTCGACCCGTTAGTGGCCTATGTAGGCCATGTGGCTTTTCAATGGGCCACTGCGGTCTGGAACAGTTTTCCCAAGGCTTCGATTTTGAATGCGACGGCCGACGCGGCCATAGCTCGAGCCAATTCGAAAAGGCGCCTATGGCGGGGAGCTGCGACACCTGCGGATGTGGCAGTGCTCAGTCTTGCTCGTGTGGGCTGGACGTTTAGAGATTTTCGCACGGTCGAAACTGACCTCGGGCAGGTCTGGAATCTCTCTCAGATCGCGCCTGTGGAGTTTCGGTTGCAGGTCCGTGCGGCGGCAGTCAGAGCGTCGGACAGACAGGCGTTGTTGCAGATAGGTGTTGAGCTCCAAGGGTACCCTCTTGTCTGGGATGCTGCGAGGCCCCTCCTTCGCTCCTCCTCCTCTTCTCGGAAGCCCCAGCATCAGAGGGCCCTCAGGAGCCTAATGAGTAATGTGCACTGGCCTCAAGCTAGAGTGCACAGGCATGGGTATCACAGTTGCGGCAAGTGTAGGCTGTGTCAGGAGGAAGCGGGGACCCTTTTCCAGACAATTTCGCTGCTCGGCTCACGCTGTGCTCAGGAGGGACATGGTCTCGCCGCAGCTAGCCAGACGGGCGGCCCGCGTGCTCGAGGGAGGGGAGGAGCTGGCTGAGAGATTCGCGCGCGCGATCTTTCCGTCGCCGCTGGCGCTCTTCCCTGCCCAGGAGCCTGAACAGATTGTGTTTTGGATTAATAGGCCTGAGACAGGCCGCCTCAGTGGTTTAATTTTTTCGGATGGGTCCGCTTCTTGGCCAGGGATTCCTGGGCTTTCGAGGGCTGGTTGGGCCTTAGTCCAGGCCGACCCCCTGGGCAATGTCATCTCGGCTTGTTACGGACCCGTCCCTTTCTCCCATGGGCCTCGCCAAACGGCCAAGGATGGGTAAGATTATGCAGTATACATGCTGGTTCAGTGTGCGATGGCGCCGATTGATTTATATTGTGACTGCCAGGGAACTCTGGATGTCCTCTGGGGCGGCCAAGGGGCGGGGGCCTCGGCTGGAGGGCCCAGGGCCCACCTGTGGGCTCCCTTCTGGTCCAGTTCTTCTCCAGGGGACTTCACGGCGTTTAAGACGGCAGCTCACTGCTCGATGTCGGACGTCCACAGTGGCAAGACGACCCTGTGGGAGAAGCGAGCCAATGATTCGGTAGACTCCTACGCAAAGATGGGTGTTGCTAGGCACCAGCTTTGCCGGCAGGACGTTGACTTGTACAGAGGTCTCAAGCGTCTGGTGAAAGAGTCGGCCAAGTGGGCTGCCCAGTTAGAGGTCCACCTGCAAGGCCAGGCAGAAAAGCGTTTGGACACAGTCGGCCTTGCAGCTTCGGAAAAGAGTGCTCCCGATGCTCACGAGTTGCCGCCTCAGCCTGAGCCAGAGATTGAAGAGTCTGTGGGCGGGGAGGGGGTGGACTTTGGGTCGGGAGGGACGGGCTGCTTAGACTGGGCCGACATGTCCACCTCAGCCTTCTTTCTGCAGGACCACGCTCTCATGTGCTGTGTCATCGAGAGTCCCGCCCGTGCTGGTGTGCCTATCGTGTTCTGTGTGAAATGCGGGGCCTACTGCGAGGACTATAGGCCAGGCGACCTGCTAGCGGCAGGGTGCAACCACAGGCCCCGCTCCGCTCAGGTCAAACACCAGCTGAAGAGAATTCGGGATGGCAGGCACCCCCACGGAAGGGCCTCGTCCAAGAATTTGGTTGTGTCCCAGCCTCGAGGGCTCTCGGAGGCTGAGAGGGACCTCATGAGTGTTCGTTGCCTTGCCTCGCCTTCTCCTGCCGCAGGTCAGGCGGGCCGTCGGCCCAGGCTCGGCTACGCTTGCCGCCAGGCCGTGCTCGATGCATACGGCCTCCAGGAGAGCGACCTCGACATGGTCAGGTCGCTAGGCGAGGCGGCTCCCCGACCTGCCCAGGATCCCGAGGATGAGGATGCCTCGGATTCAGAGGGGGAGGTCTTCTAAGCTTTTTCTTTGACTTTAGGTCGCTCCACAACCTCCTCCTCCTCCTCCTCCTCCTCCTCCTCCTCCTCCTCCTCCTCCTCCTCCTCCCATGTTCTTCAGCTCCGTCTCCTCCTCCTCCTGCTCATGTTCCCCGTGTTCTCTCTCGTCGGCAGGGGGAGCGGCCGAGCGATCCTGCGGTGCCCCCGGGTTCGTGTCTGCAGCGGGTCGCCCCTTTGCCCCCGCGACATACCACGGGAGTCACCACGAGGCCCACGCGCAAAACTCCTCCGTGGCCCGCCCTCGGCCGGCCCGCAAGCCGCCCGCGCGTCCGTGACCCGCCGACGCTGCTGCACGGAGTGGAGAGGAGGCGGGCGCGGGTGGCGGGCTGTGCCGGAGGAGGCAGCCGATGTTGCGGCGGGCTGGGTGTTGAGGAGAGGGTGAGTTCCTCGTTTGCGACGGGATGCTCGGCGCTCGAGCCGAGTAGTAGCCCTAGCGAGGTTGCGCAAGCGCCCCATCCCTGGTATCCGAAACTACGGGGCTTGGGTATGTGGTATTCCTCGCGCTCCTCCTCCTCCTCGCGATAGTTCAGCAGCCCATCCTCCTCGCGATATTTCAGCAGCCCATGTTAACCGGAAAGGAGAAGACAGGGAAGCTTTCACTGAATTGCTGGGATCGGAGGCGACGTCATTCTCTTCCTCCTCCTCCTCCTCCTCCTCCTCCTCCTCCTCCTCCTCCTCCTCCTCCTCCTCGTTCTCCTTAGCCCATCCACTCTTCCAATTCGTGTTCGTCGTCCTCCCCCTCCCCAGCGTCCTCGTCCAATTCGTCGTCGTCGTCCTTCTGCTTGGTGTTCCAAGCGCCCACCGCAGTGGCAATAACAGTGTTGGTGAAGTGCAGGTTGCGGCTTGCGGTCATCGTGTTGGGTATTGTTGATGTATTCCTCCTCCTCCTCCTCCAGGTGCAGCGCTCTGCCTTGTTCGTCCTCTCCTCGTCGTCCTCTCCCTTCCGCTTGCGAAGAATGGTTTACATGATTGTTTTTCCACCGTCGGGTACGCCTGACCCAAGACGATTGGTGCCGCCGTAAGGATTTAAATGTTCCAGTTGTCCTGAGTCTGAGTCACGTATCTACGACGGCGGAACAGCTCCTGCTAAACCGTATGCCGTTGTTCACTTGACAATGTATTTTGCCCGCTCCCGTCGATTGCCTCTCCCTCTCCTCCCTCTCCTCCCTTTCCCCTCCGCGATGCCGCCGCAGGACCTGGTGAAGTTCAAGTTCCGCAAGTTCGGCGACACCGCTCCGCCCAGGACTGTGGTGGACGAAGCCGAGGTGCACAGCTTGGGGCATGATCCCCGCATAAGGGGGGAGGTGGGAGCATTCACGGTTCCCAGATGGACCAAGAGCAGATGGGGTCGGAGGATGGCGCCGCATCGCCGATCCGGTTCGATTTGGAGCCCGATGTTCTCCGCGTCGCCGTCGCCGGCGCAACGCCGACGTCGCCGATGCAGCGCCGGAGCATCGGCACTGCATCGGCGATGTCATGCGATCCTACGAGCCCATCTACTCGGACCCCACTTGGGAGGCCTCTACAGGAGGGAGGATGAGGCAGCAGGAGAAAATGTCGTGGACGTTGGGAAAAGTGGCCAGGCCAGCCCTCCTCCTCCTCCTCCTCCTCCTCCTCCTCCTCCTCTTTCCAGCCTTGGCCAGTTTCTTCTCTGTTCCTTCGGCTGCCGCCACGTCGGCGGCGTCAACACCCTCCGCAATGCCCCAGGGTGTTGTTGTTTGGCAGAGCGTCCGAGCAACCCTCGCCCAAGAAGAGGACGAGGAACCGCTGATCACAGCGGTCGATGATGGTTCGGACGGCTCAGATTGATTGCACTTGTGCACCTCGGTCGTGCCCTCACGGTACAGATGACAAAAAAATGTTGGCCAGTTGTTTCCCGTTCTTGCCACTTCACTGGGCTTCCATGCTCCACTTTCTCCCGCCTCTCGGCCTCTCAGTAGGGATGCGAACTTGTTCATAGTTGGTCCTTCAAGCGAGGCTCTGAAGAATCCCAGGGTGATCAGCCTCCTCCTTCGCCTCATCCATCGTGGCGGGGACCTCCCGCTCAACCGCCCCCTTCATTGCCCAATGGTGCTACACTCGCTGGAGCACGGAAAGTACCGCGGCACGAGCAACGGCGACGTGATCTAGTTGATCGCAGTTCCTTCTGGGGACAGAACGTGTTGCCGACAATACATAACTCTGCACATGGCTTTGAGCTTGGCAAATGGTTGGTGTGCTGCGTCCCCTGTGTTGCTGACCTCCTTCGCTAAGAAGGATCAGCATCGACGGCTCTGGTTGACTCCTGGGCCGTGGTCTGCAGAAGTTTCCGACCCGGTAGCACGGCAACTGATGATTGAGGAATTTTACTTGGTTGGGTGGCATTCGTCCGCCATCCCACGGGAACGTTTGCAGCACCTCTCTGTCCCACGGCCGCGGGGGGATGCGGGGCGTCTCGCTCCCACCCACATCGGGGGCATGAATATGTAGGCCAGTTTGGTTGGGCGCTGTACCCATCGAGGATGCGGTGTGACGAGCGGAGCGCGCTCTTTGCAGAAGGTCGCACTGAGGCGACCAGCGCCTCATCTTGCCTCACTGCTGGCTGCGCATCTCCAACCCTTTTTGTCAGCCGAAGAAGACGAATCTGGTCTTGATCGAGGGGTGGCCGTATGGCCATGGGCTGCCTAGAGAACTACTCGGTCAACGACTCCAGCGGCAGCGTCGACAAAGAGGCATACCCACGTCGCAGAGATGCCGACCTCGATCTGATGAGCTCCAGTCCCGCATAGTCGGGGACTTGCCGAGGACCATGCCATGGACGATGACGAGTTCCTCAAGCGCACTGGCTCAGTTTCTTGAGTCAGCCCCCAGGGCTGCACCAACTATTCGTGCCCGCTTGATGGCCTTGTTTCCGAGGTCAACGCTGGGAGTCCGCCCTCCCACTCAATTTTGTGACCGCTCTACGAGGGGCAGCGGCAATGACACCGCCGCCCAGGGCAGGTGGGTTTGCACTAGGGGAACGAAGAATGACATGAACATAATAACTCGGAGGTCCGCGCGGATTTCTCGGATCCGCACTGCGCTGGACCCCCCTCCCTGGCGAGCGGAGCGCGCCAGGGGCGGCGCCGGAGGCGCCGCCAGGGTATTAAACTTCCCCAGGGTATTCAACTCTTGTGACAGGTGTACCCAGGGTATTAAACTTCCCCCATCCCCCCTCCTGTGCCTCTGTCTTGCTCCCGCGGTCCCAGGGATACCGCGGCCCTGGCGGTAGACACGGCCCTCGCAGTAGACACGGCCGATTTATCGGGGTGGCGCTCGAGTGAGAATGTGTTAGAGTCTTCGTCGGCTCACGTCGTCTTCGTGCAGGATCATCATATACGCAGCTCCTGGCGCGTCAGAAGGGCGACCCACTGGGCGATTCGACCAGGGTGGCGATCCCCCTGGAGCCCAGCGTCTCCCGGGGAAGGGCGTGGCTCTCACAGCGGGGCGGTGATCTTCACGAGGGCTCTCCTGGGTCGGCATTGAGTTTTGCACTGCCGCTTTCTGCCTTTACGACGGCCAGTGCGTGTTGGAAGGCAACTTGTACCTGCTTGCGGATGCTGGAGCTGCGTTGGTTTCCTCCGTTGCTGCGGATCTTCGCGGGCGATTGCAAGTTGCCTCCTGACGCGACCAAAGATCACGGCTTCGTCAGAGAGGTGAACGGAAGTTCTGTTTACCCAAATTGCGAGGGGACGTGTCAGTCTACAGGAGGAGTTAAGATGATTTAGCATGTTCTGTGCAATGTTGGCCTTAGTAGTTAATGCCATTCGATCGGTTGCTCGAGTGGCTGACTCGCGCGCTGCCGACATCTCCCCACGCGGGCCGCTCAGATGTTCTCTCTGGCCGCAGCTCGATGATCTCGGGGCGATGGCGCTGTCTAGGCTCCCCAAGATCCCCGTCGAGAGACAGACTGTTCGATGCTCGTTTCGGGGATCTTCCTAGAGCCCACCTAACGGATCTGTTCGACCCCAGTTCGACCCCAGTTCGACTCAAGTTCGACTCAAGTTCGACTCAGGTTCGACTCAGGTTCGACTCAGGGTCGACCCAAATCGACTGACGTACGACGCAGCTTCGACGCACGAGTGGAGCGAGTGGCTCCAGGAAGGTTCCCGGAACGAGCATCCAAAGACGGGACCCCTCGACCGCCACGCTGCCATCTCCAGGCTCAGGAACGCCTCGACCAAGCCGTCGTGGCCGCCAGGCCAGGGCCAGGGGCCAGGACCAGTGATCTCTCCGTCCGAGGGTCACAGTGGAAGCCCTATGCCAAGAGACACCCTGCTTGCCTCCAGGGTGCCCTGGGTTTTTGGGGGTTCGGTGATTTTGCCATGGCATGCGCGACGCTCCCGCGCCAGAAATCAGTGGACGCCCTGGGGTCTCAGGGCCGGGTGTCTTGTGGAGTATGTCTTGCGGTCGAGCTATTACTGTATGCGTTTTGAGCTGGTGGGGCCGCGATTGAAGTTGTGGAAGCTGTTCGTGCCCGCCATATTGTACAGTTTCGCCGCCCCCACCGCCCTCTGCCATCGGGCTCCTCGTCGCCTCCTTGTTTGCGGAAGCTCTCGCGCCCGCGTCGGTCGTCGAGAGTTCGTTGCACACGCGCCTGCTCTTCTTGCGCCTTTTTTGCCGACCTTCGCTCGCGAGTGAAGCCGGCGCTCGGCGAGAGCTTCAACACGGCGTGCTCTGAAGCTTCGGCATCCTGGGGGGCGCGGGTTCTGCTTGGAATGGACAAGGGGGCCAAAAACGGACGCATGTTCACGAAGTCCCAGCGGCGTGGAAGCCATGCACCGTCCTGGCGCGGTCGGGGAAGTCGGTCTGCGACCCGCGGAGCGTCCTGGGCAAAGGGGCTGCCATGTTCCAGAGCTCTGTGAAAAACATCGGCGGCCCCTCCTACTCCTCGTCCTGGAGATTCTGCGCTTGCTGATCCTCTTCCCGACTTCGATCTCGAGAGATTCCTGCCGATGTGGTTGGTCCAAGGTTCGGTCGGCTGTTTCCCCTGATGTTTTCCACGCTGGACATTCCGGCTGGTTGTCGGATGATACGCTTGCATGTTGGTTCTTGATGCTCGCCGTCATGGAAAGTTTGGGAATTGTTCTTGGTCAGTTGGTTTACGTTGTTCTCCACTTGATTATCAAGGTACCCTGTGGTGGTTGACCCATAGGCGTTTGTTTCCGTTGTTGGACATGGGAAAGCCCGCCGACGTGTCGCAAATCAGTCGGATATCGGTCACGCCCGCCCGCTCTTCGTTGCAGGCAGTTTCACAAGTGCTGGAGACACGGCATGGAGGCAGTTAGTTCAGTCGGAGGGAGGAGTGGCAGCGTGAGACCGCTCAGCTACACTGCCCTGGGGCTTTACGAAGCTTGCGGATCCCTCCATTTGCCCCGGTCCATCGAACGCTGCGCCAGGCGTTCGTTCTTTCTCCGCGCCGCGCGTTTGCTTATCGTTGTCCGAGCCAGCGAAGTCTGGTGTTGTGGCAGGGTGCCCCATGGCAGCCGCCATGATGCGCATCCACGGCATGCAAGACTCGGATACCGCCGAGCGGCTTCCAGGGGCTGGATTTCGGAGGCCTAGAGGTTGGCACCAACACCAATATCGGCGGCGTGCTTCCACCGAGGGAAGATGATCCCGATCCAGGTGATGGTGGTAATATTTCGGGCCTTCTAGGTGGCCGAAATATTACCACCAACACCGGAATCCAGGATCATCTTCCTCCCGTGGAGGCAACCCCTGATGTTGGTGTTGGTGCCAATTTCCAAGCTTCCAAGGATTCTCATCATTCGTTGAGAACTCTTTTGTCTGTGCCGCTGGATGTGGGAGAACTGTCGTGGACGGCACTGTCCTCGGAGAGCCCCCGCCGCTGGATTTCAGCCGCGGTGGCCATCGGGTGCAGCCCGGTCCCCAGACAGGGCGGCCTCGGCATTCTCCCCCAGGCAGGTCGGCTCGCGCATCCAGGACCTTCTGATTTCAGAACTGTCCGGCCCAGTTGTCTCTCCCACGCTTTGCGGCGCGCGCAGGTCGCCCTGCGCGGCAGACCTCAAGCGTCGCTGCACCTGTCTCTGCTGAGGCCGCGGTTCTCTCTCCTCGGCCACCTGTCACTGCAGCTGGAGCCTCGCGCGCAAAATACATATTTCTTCCACGCCTGACCTCGGCATCGACGCTTCCGCGGGGGAACCTCTCTGGGTCCCGGGCCGGAACTTCAAGGCGAAAGAGCGGTTCAGCAAAGGCCAGACCGGGGGCCCTTCGCGCGGCGCGCCTCGCAAAGACTCTCGGCAGGAAGTGATGCCGCCTGTGGGTCGCGGGGCACCTTGCTGTCGTCGACTACGCTCGCTCGCTCGCTCGCTCGCGCCATGCGCCGAAACGCGCGGGCGTAAAACACACAGCCGGACCAGCCTAACTTCACCGCTTCGCGGGAGCGGCGGCGCGAAGGCAGTTGCAGATTGACCTCGAGGAGGCGGAGAAAAAGGAGAAGGTACAAGGAGGGAAATCGGGTGTCCCTTCAAGAGTTGTTCAGCCTTCGGCGATCGTTCGACACGGCGCCTATGCCCTCGGAAGCTCAACGATCGGCGCAGGTCCTCCTGCTCCTGGAGGATGGTCCTACGCGGCTCACTCAGGTGCCTGCGTCGCCCGAGATGGGCAGGATGGGCCCGGCCAGGATTCCCAGGCATCCGACGATGTGATTGCCCCAGTCCGTGACCCCAGAGGTCTTGACCACTTCCATCGGTCACAGCGCGCGGGAATGCCATGGCAGCTCATCGTTTCCGCCGAGGGCCCCAAGCGGTGCTGGCTGTGGCGGGCACGGGAATGCACGCGACAGCCGTCCAGGCGATGGACTTGCGAGATCCAGCAGATTTCAGTGCTGGATGGTTATTGTGGTCCGTGCTGATCGGATTGAGGAAGAAGAGGAAGAACGCAGAGCAACAACAGCAAGTGAAAAGTGTGGAGCGCCTGAACATTCACCACGTCTGCTGCTGCCGTGTGCGAGATTTGGGGGATTTAGTAGACACTTCGTCTGCCGCTAGCCCCCCCCTGCCGCCTGGTCATGAGCCATCCACCCGGCCACCCGGAGGAGGAGAAGGGGGAGGAAAAGGAGTCTTCCTTCTCTTCTTGAACTTGCCAACATGACTACGTATTTCTCCTTTCCCTCCCCTGTCAACACGCGCGTGTGTTCCCGCACCTTTTCTGCATATTGCCATGATTTCCGGCCATTCGCATCAAAGGCCATGTGCATCAGGGGGTGGCCTGCACCGAGCCCCTGGTGCTGGCACACGGGGGGGGGGCCGGCACCGGCCGGTGCGGGACAAGGGGGGGGCCAGCGCCGGAAGGGGGGGGCCGGCACCGGGGGGGTTGCCAGCATTAGGAAGGGTGCTGGCACCGTGGATGTCGGCTCGGGGGCGGGGGGGCCGGCACCGGGGGGGGGGTCGGCACCGAGGGGAGGGGGGGAGCGGCACCGGGGGGCTGGTTGGCACCGAGGGGAGGGGGGGAGCGGCACCGGGGGAGGGGGTCGGCACCAGGGGGGCCGGCACCCGGGGGGTTGCCAGCACCGGGCGGGGGCTTCGCTCTGTAGCGGGGGGCGGGGGGAGGGAAGCGAGGGGGGGAAAGGGGAGAGGGGGGAGGGGGGGAGGGCCTCCCGAAGTGGAATGGGGAGAGGAGGGGGGGGGGAAGAGGGGGAAGATTGAGAAATGGGGGGGAGCGGGAGGGAGGGGGTGACGAGAACCCCGCCTCCTCCCTCCAGGGGGAGGGGAAGAGGGGGGTTGAAGAGACCCCCCCTTGCGTTCAATGGAAAAAGGTCGGAAGTTAGCCGGAAAAAACGCCCCCCCCCTGCAGAGCGAAGCTTGAGAGAGTTCAAGCCCACGCTCTCAGAAACTCACACGCCGGATCGGCGGATTTCGTTTTACATACACATTGGATGTCTTGGTTTGGCATTTTCGACGTTGTGCTTGATCAGAACATTCTCGGGCCTTCACGCCGCAGCGTTTCCCATCTTTCAGGATATGTGGTTTGCCCCCGTCGTTCGGAACTGCGCTTTCGCCCCAGCGCGGGCCACATTTCGAACGCCGTTGCCGCCCCCCTCCTTTCCCCTCATCCGCCTTCAGATGACCCTCATGTTCCTCGGAATCCTCCTGCTCACTCCTCTCGTTCCTCCTCGTCCTTTTGTTTTTCTTCGTGCACGCTCGCCACCTCCTCACCCTCCTCCTCGTCCTCCTCCTCCTCCTCCTCCTCCTCCTCCTCCACATCCGCCTCCTCCTCCTCCTCCCTCCTCCTCCTCCTCCTCCTCCTCCTCCTCCTCTTCCTCCTCCTCCTCCTCCTCCTCCTCCTCCTCCTCCTCCTCCTCCTTCTCCTCCAATGCACGAAGCACTTCTGATTGCGCATCACACCATGGTGCTCTTTGGGGGACCTAGGTCCTTTCGGACACCCCACAGATGCAACGCATCCAGCGCAATGGGAAGGGCTTGATCGGAGAGCAGGATGTCAGATATGGCGCGAGAGTGCTTGTCAGCCCACCTGCTCTTCGATTGCTCAGTATGGCTGCTATTCTTTCTCTGTCCCCTGACGATGCTCGCGATGGTGCTCACACTTCGGTATCGTTATCGTAATGATTTTGATGAATTGATGTTGTTCCAGTGCGGCTGTTGTTGCTGGTAGTGGTGTTGGTAGTGTTGTTGTTAGTGTTGTTGGTGGTGATGATGGTGGTGGTGCTGTTGCAGGTGGTGGTGGTGTTGTTTTTGTTGGTCGATCGTAGCATTCTCGGTCCTTCACGCATGGTGTTCCGCTGGAGCCCAGACAACACTTCAGGATCGGTGCGTGGCCCCCGTCGTTCAGAGTGGCGCTTTCTTCCCAGCTTGGCCCGCAATTCAGGATCTGAGTCATTCCTCGTCGTGTTGCCGCCCCCCTCCTTTCCCGTCGTCCGCCTCCCGCTTATCCTCCTGTTCTTCGTACCTCTCCCACTCATAACCCGTATCCTCGTCGTCCTACTCATCCTCCTCGTCCGCCACCTCGTCTGGTCTCCAGTGTATAACGTCTCCCTCTTCTAATGTGTGCACCACTGGATGGTGATGTGTGTTTTGTTTGGGGGGGCACGGCTCTTCAGGACACCCCATGGGCACAGAAGGATACAGCGCAACAGGAGGGGTTGGAAGGGGGAGGATGCCGGATATATAGTGAGCGCGAGCGAGGCTGTGTTGTTCGTCTGCGTTTCTCATCCAGTGACGCCATATGCATATTGTTATCCGTTCTCTTGTCACCCCTGGGAATGCACACGTGTGCCCCCAAATCCTTCGAGTTCTTGTATTTCCGCTCCCGGGGTTTCGTGGCGTGGTTGGTTTTGCTTTCCTATAGAAACGGTTCCGACCCTCTGCACATGGTGTTCCTGTTGCAGAGTTGGCCATGTTTCAGGATCGGTGCGTTCTCCCATCGCTCAGGATTGCGCTCTTGCCCCAGCGCGCGCAAAAGTTCAGGACCCGATTGATTCCATGCCGTTACCACTTTTTCCTTTCCCCTCCATCCCCTTTTCCGAAGATCCCCCTGGTTCTCCTGCTACTGCTGATCCTCCTCGCCCTCGTCAGTAATCCCCCTCTTCTTCCTCCTGCTGATGTTCCTGCTCATCCGCCACCTCATCTTCCTCTAATGTAATTGCAACGCCGCCTCGTCTGATTGCGCACCAAAAGATCATGTCATTTCGTGGGCCACGATCCCGTAGAACACCCCACGGATGCAACATACCTCGGCCCAATGGGAAGGGTTGGGCGGGAGTGGTAGGATGTTACAGATTGCGCGAGCGCCCCTATTTTGCCTCCGCCACCCCCCCTCATCTCCTCCCCCCAATCTTCAGGCGATCACAAACATGGATTGAGGGGGCGTGGATTAGCGACGGGTCCCATTTCCATGGGTAATCGCGGATTTCCGCCGCCGAACGAGGCAGCACCGGCCGCATTTTGGGGAGGGCACCTCCTCCGATCCATGGATTTGGCGACCGCGCGCCAAATCCATGGATCACTAATCCATGTTTGCGCGCCCCCGACATCTGCCTCCTCACCTTCCCTTTCTCCTGGCCCTTTGAGCGTGTCTTAGCCGCTCCTCTCCCCCCGCCCGCCCCTGCATGCCTCGAGTCGGAGCGCCAGCTGCCGAGCGACCCAGCAGCGGCGGGATGCGTGTCCCGCCGATCGCTCGGCAGCTGCACCTCCACAGTTGTACAGTGCCGTTTTTAATACATGCTCCGCGTGCGGATCCTGTATTAAAAGTGCAGGGATTTAGTTTTAAAAACAACGATGAGTTCATGCATAAATTCATTCATGAATTAATCATGTATTAAAAAACCGATGGTTTGTTTCTAATCCTATGTATTAAAAACTGCCCTGAATACATTCGTGCCGTGCCCCCCCCTTAGAGCGCACACCGCCTCTGCAGTCACCATCGTGGCCATCACTTCGAGCACCAGCTCCGTGGGCCCATCACGGCTGCAGCACAGCAGTCCCCCTAGCAGCGCCCTTGCTGCTCACAACGGCTCTCTCTCTCTATCTCTTTCTTTTTCTCTCTCTCTCTCTCTCTCTCTCTTCAGATCTCTCTCTCTCTCTCTCTCTCTCTCTCTCTTGTTGCTCACAACGGCTCTCAGATCGTCCCCCTGAACGCCACGGCGATCCGAGGACAGTTCGGTTCAGGTGTCTTTGAGGACCGTGGCAAGCGAAGCCTTAGGCATTGCGTTCCATGGGCTTCGGTGTTGGCTGGTAGGTGGCGATGCAGTTGCTCGTGCTCTGGCTGTGCTGCTGCGCTGTACACTTTTCCGCCGGCGGCGATGCCTCTGCGATGCTCGAGAAGGCGAAAGCGCAATTGCAGAGAGGAGAATCAGCCAAGGCTGAAAAGAGTTTGAGGAAGGTAATCCGGTCGTCCCCTCACAATGGGGAAGCGCATAATATGTTGTGTAGGGTGCGGGCGCAGCTAGGCAAGTTTGCCGCTGCAGAGCAGTCTTGCGCCGAGGTGGTGCGACTGAACCCTGGTTCTGGCGGCGCCTTTGCCAATCTGGCCTACATGCAGGAACTGCGTGGTGGCGATGCGCTTGCCGAGGCGGAGTCAAATTACCGCAAAGCGCTGAGCCTCGAGCCCACGAACGCGAATGCCGTTGGTGCTCTGCCTGGGATACTCCAGAGGGTTGGGGGCCAGTTACAAGATCTCGGTCGCGACAAGGAGGCTGAAAGCAAGTATGCTGAAGCAGTGCGGTTGAACCCCAAACTGGGCAGTGTGCACCAATTATTGGGTGGCCTGCAGCACAAGCGCGGCGACTTGAGGGCCGCAGAGGAGAGCTATCGCAAGGCGACCAAGTTGTCCCCCATCGAGGCTGAGGCCGCAGACGTGTTCAAGTGGTTGGGGTTGCTGCAGGCAGCGAGGGGCGCTTCGGAGGAGGCCATATCTACACTACGACGCGGTGTCAAGCTGCGCAGGAAGTCTGGACGGCCAGCTGTGTCATTGGTCATGAACTTGGGCACGATGGGCGACGAACATTTCCGTCAGGCACGCAGTGAGGAGTTCGAAGTCTTCTCTCAGGCGTGCGCGTCTGCAGAGAAGGCGGGCAACGAGGTAGCCTCCAGGCTGCCCGAAGCCCTGAAGGCTGTCAGGCGTTTCGAGGAGAGTGCCGATTGGATTGCACCGTCCCTGGTAGAGTACGCTGCCATCTTCGGCCTGTCCCCCGTCCAAGGTGCCTACGGTGCTGTCTGGTACCCTAGCTTCCGCGACGCCCTGGCGATGGCTCGAGCGCGAGGGCATCCTGCCGAGGACGATCCAGGACTTGTGGTTGTCTTCGGAATCGCTCTGGGTGAGCAGTGCCTCTTTGCGGTTGCCGCGGGAATGCGCTGCATCGGGTACGAGCTGCTCTGCAACAGCACGGTGCAGCCAGGCCGCCAGATGGTCGAAGAGCGCAGCATGTCCCCAGTTAGATCGGGGGAACGTAAGACTCGAGTCTGCCTAGATTCTGCTTTGCTGGCCCTGGTTGACGATCCTGCAGTCAATCGTGACGGCCCAGCTATTGTGATAAATCTGCACCAGCAGTCCGCGTCGCGTTTCAGACCAGGCCCTGCCATTTTCGGACGGCCACGCCGGGGAAGTTCGAGCCTCCAGAGTTCGGGTCTTACGAGTCCCCGATGATAGACTTGCGCTGCGGAGACGCTGCCGACGCAGAGGGGCTCGAGGCCGCCACGGTCGTGTTCGCGAACGACTTCACGTGGCCGGCCGAGCTCGTGGTCAGAGTGACGCGGCTGCTCGCCCAGAGGCTGCGTCCCGGGGCGGCCGTGGTCTCATTCAACGAGCATTGGTCGGGTGGTGGTCTCGTTCCGGAGGAGGACTTCGAGGAGGTGGCCAGCTCTCGGATCATGACCTCGTGGGGTGAAGTGCCCATATGGGCTCGCCGGAAGAAAGTTGCCCAGCAAGGCACCCTACATATCAGCACAGGGTTTGTGGGAGCCGAGTGGCCTGTGGGACGTGCGAGACCTGTGGGATCTCCAGGACCTGTGCGACCTGTGGGACCCGTGGGACACGTGGGGCCTGTGGGACATGTGGTTCCTGTGGTACCTGTGGGGTAAGTGCGAGCTGTGGGACTGGAACGACCTGTGAGGCCTGTGGGACCTTTGACCTGTGGGACGTTTCAGACCTCCTGGACCTGTGGGACCCGTGGGGACCGTGAGACCAAGGGGGCCTGTGGAACCCGTGGAACTTGTGAGACTTGTGAGACTCGTTGGGACCTGTGGGATCTGTGGGACCTGTGCGGCCTGTATATGGACCTACGGGACCTGTGGGGCCCGTGGGGCGTGTGGGATCAGCGGGACCTGGGGCAGCTGTTGGGCCCGTGGGGCCTGTGGGGCCCAGCCTGTGGGAACCCGCGGGGACCTGTGGGGCTTGCTGGACGTGTGGGGCACGTGGAATCCGTGAGGCCTCTCGGGCCTGTGGGAGCTACGAGACTTGCGCGGCACATACGACCTGCGAGGCAGGATGTGGCGCCCGTGGGGCACGTGGGATCTGTGGAGGGGGGGGGTGGGCCCGGTGGAACTGGTGGGACCTGTGGGACCTCTGGGACCTGTGGGACCTGTGGGGCGTGGTACCTGTGGGGCCTCCGTGGTACGTATGGGGCATGCGGTACCTCAGACCTGGGAGACCGGCGCAACCTTTGGGGCAGGTGGGATCTGTGGACTTATGCGAATTGCGGGACTTCAGGGATCTGTGGAATTTGTGGGACCTGGGGGACTTCGATGGCATGTGGGGCACATGAGACCTGCGATTCCTGTGAGAGCTGTGGGACCTGTCAGACCTGTGGGACCTGTTGAAGCTGTGGGACCCGTGGGACCTGGATGGACCTGAGCGGCATGTACGATCTGCCAGACCTGTGGGACTCGTGGGACGTGTGGGACGTGTGGCATTTCTAGGTTGTGCGGGTCTTGTGGAGCCTGTATGACTTTGCGGACCTGTGGGGTTTGTGGAACCTGTGGAACCTGTGGGACCCGTCAGACCTCTGGGATCTGAGGGACCAGAGGAACCTGTGGAATTTGCGGGACATGTGGAACCTGTGGGGGTTGTGGGACTTGTGCGGCCCGTACGACCCGCGGGACCTTGGCGCTCGGGCAAGAGTACAGCCGAGAGTGAGGCGAGAGCGTCATCGTCGTCGTCGTCCTCGTCGTCGTCGTCCTCGTCATCATCCTCGTCATCGTCGTCGTCATCGTCGTCTTCGTCGTCCTCGTCCTCGTCGTCGTCCTCGTCGTCGTCCTCCTCGTCGTCGTCCTTGTCGTCGCCCTCGTCATCGTCGTCGTCATCGTCGTCTTCGTCGTGGTTGTCCTCATCGTCGTCCTCGTCGTCGTCGTCGTTCTCGTCCTCGTCGTCCTCCTCCTCGTCGTCGTCCTGGTCGTCGTCGCCGTTGATTATTAAATCACCCATGGGGGAAGTAGCAGCCGAAGCGGCCGCCGTGCCGGGCGGTCTCGCAGCTCTCTCCCCGGACCCCGCTGCGGCAGCCGGCATTCTGGGGCGGGGGAAGGAATCTTGCATGATATGCGTGGAGTTCTTCGGAAGGGATAGAGGAGGGCGAGGAGGAGGAGGAGGAGGGGGAGGAAGAGGAGGAGGAGGAGGAGGAGGAGGAGGAGGAGGAGGTCCCCGACCCGCCTCGCCCACCGTGCATGCCTCGGTCACCAGGCCCCAGAGGTCGTCTGGGTGTTTGTGCCTCTCATCTTCGGCGGAGGGCGACACGACAAGCAGCATACCGCGGCCGACCGTCCCGAGGTATTCCTCAGAGAAGGAAAAAAGTACACATACCTCTACCCTTCCCTAGTTGTCCTGCTTTTCGGGCCTCGGGGAAGGCCCTCGTCGCCACCGCCGGATTCGCCTCGAAGTCCTGGTCAGGACGCACCCCGGGAGAGGCCCCGGGGAGTAGCGGTATCGGTACCTTTTGGTTTCCCGAGAAACGGTTGCCGGGAAGTGGCGGTTCGAGGAGTAACGGAGGTCGAGAGATGACCGTGTGTATTTTCGTGCATTTTCTTTCAAATTCTAAGCAGGGTTCGCATTTTACTTCCTAGGTGCCGCCAACTTAATTCACACCCTTTGATTTTCTCGCCAGCTCGAGAAGACGCCCCGTGGCTAGAGGAGGAGGAGGAAAGCAGTAGGGGAGGGAAGAGCAAATGGAGAAGCAGCATCAGCAAACAGTGTACGAGGAGGAAAGCACACGGCTCCCTTCACACACCTTCTTCTTCCTCCCCGTTCTTCCCCATACTCTGAGATGGGATCCCTGTTGCTGTGACATGTCCGCCTCCTCACTCCTGCCTCCTCCCTCTCATCACACGCAGATGATTATTACCCAGACTCAGTCACACTGAGACTCAATTCATAAGCAGATTCACTCACACCGAGACTCACACTCAGATTCACTTATACTTAGACTCAACCTCCAGGCTCACTCATACTCGGATGCACCTATATTCAGATACACTCATACTCGGTTACACCCATACTCATGCTCGCTTCTCATTCTCAGACTCATACTTAGTCAGAGCAAATCACACTCAGACTCTCTCAAATTCGGACTCGCTCTCACAGACCACTCAGATTCAGGCTCGCCGCACACTCACCTTGTGAGGATGTCTCGAGCGGGTTGCCTGTTTCAGCACTTAGAGGGGGAGCCACCAGGCGGTATTTCAATGGCCCTTTTGCGGCTAGATTGTTTGGAGAGTGATAACGCCCACCACTACCATAACCACCACCACCACCACAATCACCACCACCACCTTCCCCCTCCAACCAGCCAGATATTCCGCAGTCTGGGGAGGGGGGCGCGAGGTGGTGGTGGTGGCGTATAGTTCCCCAAATCCTAAGGACGGGCTCTTGTTCTTAACTACGACCGCGCCGAGTCCTCACACAACCACCTCCCTATCCTTTTCCTCTCTCCTCTGACTCACACGCTCGACGATGATGATGATGCTGGTGATGATGCTGATTATGATAATGATGATCATGATGATGATCATGATGATGATCATGATGATGATCATGATGATGGTGGTGATGGTGATGATGATGATGATGATGCTGATGATGATGCTGATGATGATGATGATGGTGGTGTTGGTGATTATGGTGGTGCTGGTGATGGTGATGGTGCTCATGGTGACGGCGGTGATGATGATGATGCTGACAACGCCAGTAATGATGATGATGATGATGATGATGCCAGTAATGATGATGATGATGATGATGATGATGATGATGATGATGATGATGATGATGGTGATGGTGATGGTGATGGTGATGGTGATGGTGATGGTGATGGTGATGGTGATGGTGACGAAGATGTTGATTTGGGTGCTGATGTTGATGAGAATTATGATGAGCAGGATGCCGATGATGATAATGGCAACAATGGTAACGATGGTGATGATGAGGATGATGACGATGATGATGATGCTAATGATGACGATGATGATGATGATGATGATGATGATGATGATGATGATGATGATGGTGGTGGTGGTGGAGGTGATCATGATGATTGTGGTGGTGGTAGTGGTGGCAATGACGTTGCTGATGGTGATGATGATCATGATGGTGGTGATGATGATGATGATGATGATGATGATGATGATGATCACCAAGATGATCTATATCGGAGCAGATTATGTTGATGGTTGGGGCGAGGCGCTGGTTTCAGCACCCCCAGGGGGGCGTCGCCTGGGGGTATCTCACTCCTCCGTTCGCGCCCAGATTGCGGAGATGCTTCCAGCGGTTTGCTTGCTTTACCGTTCCAACATCCTTCGCTGTTGGAGCTGATGTTGAGGATGTCTCGGGCGAGGCGCTGGTTACCGCTCCCCTGTGGACCCAGATGCGGATCTAAGAAGCCCCAGGAGGTCACAGGAGTGGCTCCAATCTGGAGTTGCTCCGTGTGCTCCTATAGATTTGGCTTTTCTTGGGGCACGGTTTGTTGGTTTTCCGTGTGTTCCTATAGGTTGCTTTTCTCCCGTGGCGTCGGTCTTAAGTGTTCCCCGTGTGTTCTCATAGATTTAGCCTCATTTGGGGCACAAGCCCTTGGTGTCTTACGTATGTTCCTATGGATTGTCCCTCCCTTGTGGCTGCAATCCCAGATCTCCCCCGCATCTTGCGATAGATAGGGCTTCTCGTTGGGCACGAATTATTTTTGTGATTTACGTATGTTCCTGTAGATCGCCCCTCTCCTGTGGTTCCAATCCTAAGTGGTTTACATATGCAAAGGTTTCGCACGGCGTTTGCATGAGCACCTCTACTTCTTTTGTCCATCATGGAGGGAGGGATCGCGTAACCAATTCGACTCAGTCACGCCCAGTCATGCTCAGGCCACCTGACGTGCAGATACACGGATCTTAAGTTTAGGCAAGCGCAGACTCATTCGCGCAGACTCATTCCTCACTCGTACTACTGATACTCAGTCGCAGTACGGTTCGCTCCCAGTCTGTCAATACTTAGGCCCTCTTGTTTTCGAAAGCTCTTGCGCCCAGACAGTCACGGCGGAAAGGCCCATACCAGTGGATGCACACATGGGGAGCTTCACGCAGTGAATCTTTTTTGTGGCGCTTGTACGAGACGTCCTGAGAATCGGTGTCCGAGACTCTCTTGGCGACCCCCAGAACAATCGAGGGCCGAGT